TAGCAACCAGAAGATAGTAAAGACCACTAAGGTTATGTCAAAAAGGACTCAGGAACTTCCAGTGGACTCAAGCTTTTCATTCATCAAAGATTGGGGTAGTTTGAGAATCAAAAGGATAAAAAAGGAGTCCACTGTATGGAACACATTTGCCAATGACACATCTGACAAGGGGTTAATTTCCAAAATATATAAAGAGTTCATACAACTTAACAAAAAGAAAAGCATTACAATTAAAAAATGGGCAAAGAACCTAAGTAGACACTTCTCCAAAGAAGACATACAGATGGCCAAAAGACATGAAAAAATGTTCAATGTCACTAATCATCAGAGAGATGCTAATTAAAACCACAGTGAAGTATCACTTCACACCTGTAAGAATGCCTGTAATCAACAAATCAACAAACAGCAAGTGCTGGCGTGGATGTGGAGAAAAGGGAACCCTAGTACGCTGCTGGTGGGAATGCAGACTGGGGCAGCCCTGTGGAAAATAGTATGGAGGTTCCGCAGAAACTTAAAAATGGAACTGCCGTTTGACCCAGTGATCCCACTTCTAGGAATATATCCAAAGAATCCTGAAACACCAGTCACAAAGAACTTATGCACCCCTGTGTTCGTAGCAGCACAATTTACAATAGCTAAGATCTGGAAATAGCCCCAGTGCCTATCGTTAGATGAGTGGATAAAAGAGCTGNCAGCACAATTTACAGTAGCTAAGATCTGGAAATAGCCCCAGTGCCTATCGTTAGATGAGTGGATAAAAGAGCTGTGGGACATCTACACCATGGAATACTATGTGGCTGTAAAAAAGACAACATGTTGTCTTTGAGACAACATGGATGGACCTGAAGAGTATTGTGCTAAGTAAAATAAGCCAGCCAGAGAAAGACAAATACCACATGATGATCTCACTTATATGTGGAATATAATGAACAAAGTAAATTGATGAACAAAATAGGTCTAGAGGCATGGATGCATGGAACAGACTGACAATATCTCGGTGCAGAGGGGCAGGGAGATGGAAAGAGTTTAACCAAAGAACATGTATGCATAGCCCATGGACACAGACAGTAGTGCATTGAAAGCCTGGGGAGGGGATGGAAGGAGGGGAGTCAATGATGCAGTCAAGTATTACAATGATACATCTGTAATACTTTCAACAATAAAGTTANGGGAAGGGGGAACATCTGTAATACTTTCAACAATAAAGTTAAATTTTTTAAAAAAGGAATCNTCAAGTATTACAATGATACATCTGTAATACTTTCAACAATAAAGTTAAATTTTTTAAAAAAGGAATCTGGGGAGGAGTATGGGATAGGGTGGGGTGTAGATGAAATAGTATTGGCCATGAATTGATAATTGTTCCAGTTATACAACAGTTATTGTAGGGTTTATTATTCTTTTCTATCAAACAAAACTTTTTTTTTAAAAGACTATAGGCTTTTGCATCAGACTACTAGGTTCAAAGTCCACATCTGGCACTGACTAAACTATATGATCATTTGGAGCTATTCAGCCTCTCTTTGTTTAAGTGCCCTTGCCTGTGAAATGGAAATAATGTAATAATACCTAAATAATAGGTTGTTGTGAGAACTAAGTGATAAGTGGAAAGCATTCGTGAATGTTAGCAGCTATTATGAATCAAAGATAGTCTAATTAAAATTATAAAATCACTGTTGTTTAGAGACCTGAGGTACTTAGAAACAGTCTAGTTGATGAAACTGAATTCCATAATCAGCAAAATGTCTAGTGGTAGAACCAGAACTGAACTATAGGTCTCTTTAGTCATTACAATGTCTTTAACAATATGTCATTATTGAATAACATACAAATAAACTTAAATAATCTGGTCTTATGTAGGGCCACTTAGGATTGCAGACATGTTCATTTTTCCTGCATCTGAAAATAATTACAGTTCTAATGAAAACACTAGGTTGTTCTCATTGTCTGTTTTCTTTGAGAAGGAACAGAGAAACTAAACCAAAGATGAGTCTAAATGCATCTGGGATTAAACCCCAACTTAATGAACATGCTAGGAAATTTTTGAGGAAATAAAGGAATAAAAGGATAGAACTTGTTCTGCTAGATATTTTTAAATATTATATCATTGTAGCCATTAAGTCTGTGGTGGTTCTGGCCCAGAACAATGAAACTCCTTAGTATGTAGAAATAACCACACCTGTAAGTGTATGGAGAATTTTAATATTAAAACTACTTCAGATTAATTACTTTTATTGGGACTATTGGAGTTGTCATTTAGAGAAATATAAAGCTAGTTGCTTAGTGAAGTTCAGATTATTTCATAGACATACTAGAGGAAAATGTAAGTGAATATTTTTATAGTATGGAAACAGAGAAAACCTTTGGTGTTAGAATAATAAAATACAGGTGCCAAAAAGAAAAGGGCTAGTAAATTTTACCAAATATAAATTTAAAACTTTGGTATAACTACAGGTGCCTTGAGTTAAAAAACAAAAAATAAATATTGGCAGCATATGTGAGAAAGGGTTAATATCTTACTGTAGTAGTTAGGGTCCAGTCAGGAGCTATAAATTACAACAGGAATTTAAACAAAGAAAATTTAATATGAAGAATTATTAAGTAGTAAAAGGTGTTTTAACTACTAAAAAGGATAAAATAGTAAATAAGGATCAGCTGCTACTCTAGAGCTGAGCAGGAGAATCAAGAAAAAGAACAAACTGAAAGAGTCTTACCCAAGGTTTTGATTCAGACCTTGAAGAGGTTATAGTTGCTGCCAGAGGACACAGCCATGGGCCAACTGGTCCACAGGAAATCACCTGCTAAATGCCATAGGCCTGAGCTGGTGTGTGGCAAGCTGCGTGCTAGGGTGCCATGGGCCTGACTGATGATGAGCAGGAAGTTGCCAAGTGGGTGCCATGAGTCTGAACTGATATGCTGGATGCAGTCCAGTGGGATGCTCTGGGTCAGAGCTGGTGCACAGAAATCCACCAGCTGGAGTAAACTGGAGAAACTTACTTAGAGACAGCAGAAAAACTTGCTGGAGGTTGATCCCCAATGGGTCTCTCATGAACCTAGCTGCCACACCATAGGGCAAGAAGAAGAGCACGCCCAGTCTGAAAGAGAAGCTCATTCCTCTGCGGTGCCCCTCCGCTGCCCTCTGTTAACAAAGTCTAATGTTGCCCTAGCTGACAAGGTCCATGTCCATTACAAAGAAGTGTGCATTTGGAGCTAAGAGGCCATAAATTGATAACTAGCATTATGTGAAAAGCTCTATGTAGATGAGAAAATTGTGAGTACTCTAATTGAAAAAATAGCAGAGCGTGTATAGATAATTCACAAAAGAATAAATACAAATGGCTAATTAGTATTTGAAAGTATAGTCAAATTTACTATTAATCTCCCTGATTTCACCTAGTTGTACAAACTTGTATTTTCTTAATCTTCCATCACTGTGAGTATATATTGCTTCTTAAGATCAAACATTCTTTCCCTTCTGGGCTCCTACTTCTTACCTGGGGTTCTGCCTGCCCTCTATACTCTTACTCTTCATTTACACAAATTATAAAGCTAGTCTGGAATTTTTCTGAGGACCTGCCCCACTCTAGCTAGTGTAATAGGCAAGAAAATGAAAAAAGAGGAAAGCAGCTTGAAAAGGAAGAGATAGAACTGCCTCTTTTTACAGACAGCATATAATTATCTGTAAATATATGTTGTATGTATGTAGATAGTCCTAAAATTATCCATAGAAAATTACTAGAACTAATGAGTGAGTTTAGCATGACCACAAGATAAAGTTCAATATATGTAAATCACTTTCAATTCTACATATGAGCAGTGATCAACTGGAAACTAAAAAAATTTTAAAGTTCCACTTACAGTAGCACCAAAAATTTAAAATATTTAGGCATATACCTGACAAAGTAGGAATAATGTTTGTATATTGAAATCTATAAAACACTGATGAGAGAAAAGAAATCAAAGATCAAAATAAATGGAGAGATAAACAATGTTTATGGAAAGAAAAACTCAGTATTGTTATCATGTCAAGTTGCCACAAATTCAACATAAGCCCAATCAAAATTCTCTCAGGCTGAGCACATTTTAGCTCAAATGTTTAAAAAGAAAGAAAAGCTATTTTTATCATAACTTGTTTGTTTGTTTGTTTGTTTGTTTGTTAAATAGAAACTAGCCTATAGTGGAGCTTGCTGCTTTGTGATACAGGGAGTTCCTTATCATTTGAAACTTTCAGTGATCAGTAAGATACCCCTTGTCAGGGATATTGTGTAAGGAATTACAGCAGTTAGGTGGGAAGCTGGCCTAGGTGATCTACTTTTACCCTTCTAATTCAAAATCTTAATGAATCTGTTACTCATAGGTCAATGATTACAACTTTGTGGCAAGGCAAAAGGGAGTTAGGGAGTTATTCAGGCTTTTTCAAATATACTTAACTTTTCCACAAACATCCTCCTCCCATCTTTAAGAACCATTTCTTGTAATGAGGGATATTACTAATGGGAATGTGTTGTGTGAGTGAACTATTTTAAGGCCTCTAATTGTCACATTTGTATTACTTTGTGGGGGGGGGGTGTACGCATCAAGTTGACTGAAAAGGAAGATAATGTCAATCTTCTCAGCTCTTTTTGAATTTTAATTATGACTCTTCCAAAATAGTATAAATCATAGGGAAATAGTCTTTAATATTCATTTTTAGCTAAATTCATATTATCAATTTCTTCTATATAATCAACTTATTAAATATTTTTCAATAAGGAAACTCAGAAATTATCTTTTAAATTATTCCTCAAGTTAGTTATACCAGAATACTAATTTTTACAGATACTGTGTTCCTAACATATATTTTAAATATATATATTTGTTATGTTTTTACAAAAACGTGGAAACCTCAAATAAGTAAAAAAAACCTGTGAATTCTGTGATTTAAAAAAATATTGCTTGCAATATGAATAGCTACCTATTTTTATTTTCATTAATATCTTAATTTCCTTTCTATTTTTAAGCCCAACCTGAATTCCTGAAGCAGCCTACTAATATATATGCTCATGAATCTATGGATATTGTATTTGAATGTGAAGTGACTGGGAAACCAGTTCCAACTGTGAAGTGGGTCAAGAATGGGGATATGGTTATCCCAAGTGATTACTTTAAAATTGTAGTAAGTACCTTTTTAAAGGAGGACACTTATTTCTGAAATCTTTAAATGTCTTTGAATGTAATCACCAAGAGATTTGGTATCTTGTATACACCAGTTTATGTACCACAGGCAAAGATAGAAAAATTCACACAAATTGTAATCTCTTCATTGGATGATGAGAAAGCTGAACCCAGAAATATTTTGGTAGCTTATGTAAGATCACATAGCAAATAGTGCTAGGTTTAGTATTCCTGCTTAAACATACGCGCACTCTTCAACACAGCTGCCACCATTTTCTGGGTGATGATTAGTGTGTGTGTGTGTGCGCGCTCACGCGTGCACGCACATGCTCACCAGTTGTCTTTATAGCTCTCTATTCAAGGAGCAGAAATCTGTCCTTCATATACTGATGCTCACGCCCTTCAAAATAAGTATAACCCAGTGTTGGATGATTGTTATGACGATACATATGAAGATTCTTTTAGAAAGTAAATGCAAAAGTAAATAATTAGTGTTAAATGTATTTAAGAATATTCAGCCATTACTGTTTTTTACTTTCTATTAAGTAAATGCTTAGTAAATATTATCTATTATTATTATTATTATCTAGCATCTTAGTAATCCAATTATCTAGGTTTTAGTAACAAGAATTGACATATCTTGAGATACATGACATTCATAGAAATAATCAGAAGTATTATGGTTGTTAAAGACTTATTGTCTCATTACAAATTTCTCATTTAAGTAGGGGTATATTTTCTATTTTCAAAATGTATACTCATAACTAAGAAACAATGTGTTATGGTTAAATTAGCATTTTTTACTCTTACCATTATTTTCATACTATTTTTAAAAAATCTTAAAACCATATTATACTATATCAATAACAGTAACAATAGTGAACATCCATATAGTACTTTATAGTTTAAGGAAAGCTCATATATATGCAACCTGATTTTACTTATTGTAGTCTAATCTCTAAGAACTGTTGATAATAGAAATAATGTTAATGAAATGCCTTGAATTCACAAATTCAGTCTTTCACTATGGTCACATGGTATTGCATGCCAGATATTTTTCAAGCAAAGGTGTAAGTTTGCAAACGTGGATATGATTTTCTCTGAGTATTAAGTTCTTAATTGTTAATGACAGTCTTTCCTGTTTTAATCAGTTTAAGTCAGTACCTTGTCAATGAAAGTGAGTTACTTTAACAAGTACATAGGTAGATAATATTCAGTACCTGAATCATACAATTTTACTTGTCTTTTTCTGCCCAGAAAAGGCATATATTTGAGATTTTGAACTAATGTTTATCATTGAATCATAAAATTGTATTTATGTTTTTCTTCTTCAGAAGGAACATAATCTTCAAGTTTTGGGTCTGGTGAAATCAGATGAAGGTTTCTATCAATGCATTGCTGAGAATGATGTTGGAAATGCACAAGCTGGAGCCCAACTGATAATCCTTGAACATGGTAAGAGGTGCTGAAATAGTAAGAAAGAAGAGGAGGACTGTACGTTTGAGGAACTAGTACCTATCACAGTACCTATCACTTCAGGATCTCTAATGATTAATGACCTGTTTATAAGGGGCAACATATGGCATAACCAAGAGAAAAAAATAGATGTCTAAATAATTTCTGTTGTTTAAAATGACATAAAAACACAATTTTAGCTAATGCTGAAAAGAAATTTGTGTTAAGAAAAACTGAACAATTAGAGTCTTACAAAAATGAATGTTCTTCAGATTTCAGTCATTTTAATCTCACAAATATATTTCTGCTCTAATAAAATAGGAAAACTTTACTTAAAGCAATATTTATTTTGCATTGAATTTTTCTTCAATTTTTCCAAAATAAAATTAACTTGCCTTTTGTGATTTTCACAAAAAATACTTATAAATTCAGACAACATTGAAAAGTAAAAAGGGTGGAGGGGAACCCACCTGTTTCAGTCAGGGTCAGTTCTGGGGAAACCACATAGTAATATCAACAAAAACTAAAGAATTAATTATACTTTAATGTAAAAAAATTAAACTCTAACAGGGAATTGGAGTAACAAGGGGTTGGCTAGAAAGAAGTGAAGAGAATTCTAACAAAATAAGAATGGCAGATGGAGCATCTACAACCCCTGAGAGAGAGTTCAGGAAGATTACCCCCTCAGCGCTGAGATTTAGACCACATGGGAGAGGGTGTGGCCATGGTTTACTGGGTGACGGAGAAGCTGCTGTGCTGCCTTGCTTGCTGTGGAAACTTGCTCAAGACCTTCTGTCTAGTGTGCTGGGGAGAAACTGTTCACAGGAGGTATCTCACTGAAGGCATTCTGCTACAAAACTACCTGAAGGTTGGGGTGTTGGTGGAAGCAGCCCTCCAGTACCTGTACTGATAAAGTGTAACACTTGTGTCAGCTGGCAAAGGAAAAAATATATAAAGGGCCAGCTTTATTTTTGCAGAGCAGGCAATATAGCATGAATTTGAGGCTGAGAGGCAGTAAACTGCTAACTGCCACATGCTCCAAATCCTGCCACCTAGGTGTACTACGTGTGTGCACACACACATGATTATGAATTATAACCTGCTTTCTGCAGCAGCATGCTATGGGTGTCTTTCTCTGTAAATAAATAGAGATCTGCACCAACATTTTTCATTGCTGAATAGTGTATGTACACTTTGCTTTATATAAATGATTCCCTATTGGTTAGCATTTAAACTGTTGCCTGTTTTTAACTATTATGAGCAGTGGCATGCTGAACTTCTTTATATGATTTTCTCATACTAAATTACTAGAAGTTGAGTTATTGGATAGCAGTTCTGTGTTAAATTGATAAGGATACCCATTGGGTGTATTATTTATTTAGTTTAGCAAGCAAAGAATTTTTCATTTTTTGCTTTTCTTAAGAGTGCATGAAAAAGTTGCCATATTAGACGACGCCTCTGGTGTCTGAGTCAAGTGAGTTCAGGTTCCACTGTGGTCCTAGCCACACAGCCTGGCTAGGAAAGCTAATTGGCAAAGATGGCACCTGCTCTAGCTTTCCACTAAAATAGCATATAGGATTTTTATATGCTATTTCTTGAAAATGTATTTGATAGTACTATTATAAAAAGGCATAAACTATTAGAACTACTCTTTTTCTTCACTCATCTGAGATATATATACTTTTCCCTCTTCATTGAAAATGGTTTAGTAGAAGCATATCACCTTCACATCTTGGCAAAATGCCTGAGTATGATTACCAATTAAGGCTCTAACAGAATTAGTAAGGTATATAGCCTTATTTCTTTTTATTAATGGCAGTGATTTTCCTTAGTAAACTTTATGGCTCTCTTTGGGTTATTTACCTACAGCTAAATAAAGGGATTTCACTATATTTCTGTTTGGGATTACCATTACAGGTTTGGTTGGCTATCCTAAGAATCCCTAAGCTAATTCTGTGTAAATGCTTGGATGGCATAATAACTAGTTATAGTGTGTATGTTTTCCCCTTCTTGAGATGTTTCAAAAAACAGTGTTTTGTGGACTAGCAAAATTTTTTAGTGACTTTGTCAGGGATGCATTAAGGATGCATGTATTACAGGAAGGAAGGTAAGTATCATGCTATTAATTTTGCTATTTTAATTTGCAAGATAAATATTTATGTAGGAAAGCTAAAAGAGAAAATAGAACAATTTACAAGACCTTGTCTCTGCCTTTCTGGAGTATATAATATAGTGAGAGGTATAAGAGATATGTATGGCTTTAACACCAATCCATAATAAGTGCTATTTTTATAGTACAAATAAAGCAGTATACAATTCAGAAGGGAAGAATTCTGTCTGTGATCAAGGAAGTTTTTTCACAGAAAGCATCCTCTTCGTAATAGACCTTGAATGATAACATTTCCTAAATGGAGGACCTGGGCCAGTATGGAAATAGAGTACCTGTTCCTATAGAAAGGTGGCCTATAAAGACAGAATAGGATCAGATTGATCATGGCCTTGATTATAAACAGTCAAAGCAATACTCTAGTAAGGGCCTATCCGGTGTGGCTCAGTGGATTGACCATTGTCTCATGCACCAAGAGGTCACTGGTTCAATTCCTAGTGAGGGCACATGTCTGGGTTGTAGGCTCGATCTCCAGTGGGGGGATGTGCAGAAGGCAACTGATCAATTGATGTTTCTCTCTCTCCCTCTCCATTCCTCTCTCTTTAAAAAATCACTAAAAATACATCTTAAAAAAATAACAATCCTTTAAAAAAAATACTGTAGTAAGGCAGTCTGATGATAAAGTCAGGCTTAATTAGTAAAGAAGGCAGAGTTCAGGAGGCTAGTTGAAGGAATATTGTTTTATATAAGAGACCATTGAGAGATGAAAAGTACTTATACTTGAGAAATAGAAAGAAAGTATCCTAATAAAGATATGCTAGTGATTTATCTAATCCAGACTTTATCAACTGTGATAGGATATTAAACATTGTTGTAGAGAATTCAGAGATGCTTCCAGAGTTTTATCTGAGTGACTTAAGAATGGTGGTCCCTTTACAAAGATAGAAAAGGAAGGAGAGTCAAAGTGGAAGGGGACGTCTACTTGTACTCAGAATATAAAGAGTGTGCACAGAACCTCTCACCCTCGCCTACAATAAAAAGGCGGGTGATTTACAAAATCATAAGTTATCTGAGTCCATCAGAGAGCTTAGCTTGTGAAGCAGCCAAGTAAACTAAATTCCAAAAAGTAGACAACCCTCCTCCCTGAAAGAGTGGGCCATGAATTGCTTCACTTTTGGCAGGGCAGGAGAGAGAGAGATGGCTGCCATAAAAATAGATAAGAAATCAGCTGAAATTTTAACTGATTATTAAAGACTAAGTAGGGACTAGTTTGGAATATCTTAGGGCTTCTGATAAAAGTCCATTTGCAATGCACTTGCATGCAAATACATTTCTGTGAGGCTTCACAGGATACTTACTATTGAGATTGGGTACAAGGCGAGGACTCGGGAGTGGTGTAGAGATGAAGGAGGTGATCTGTGGCTGCTCGGAGATAGGCACAAAGCCCCTTCCATTTACTCAGACTACTTTAAGCCTCAAACCAATGGGGGATAGGGAGAAAACCTTATTTCATACATTTCTGGAGGGAGATTAGAAGCAAAACCTTCTGGAGAGAGGAACCCTCTGGTTCCAGGACACAGCCAGAGATGCATTGCTGCTGGAGAAAAGGTAGAAGGGAAGACCCTTTAAGTCTGAAAGATGCACAAAACTGTTTTGTTCTCCAGTATTCTACAACAGTGCCTGGGGAGAGGTGTTTTTACTACTGGAGGAAGAGTAAGGAAGTACCACTGAAGACCAACACAAATACAAAACAGATTTTGGCTGCCATAGGAAGGAGAGCCATAGGGCCTACCCAGTACTGTCACTAGACCAAGACAACTGAAAATCCCACCTGCTTCAACCATGAGCCATGTCAGGTGACAAACAAGATTTCTACTGCTGGTGGTGTAGGTCAAGAATGGGGAGCTAGATCCTCTGTGGTAGAAGGATGCAGGGATGGGTGAAAGCTGGGAAGGAAATTGAGAAAAACTCTCCAACTCATCTCTTATCTTAAGCACCTGACAGTGGTTATCTACCCGTAGAAGAATTGGACACCTGTGGTGTGCCGAAGGTAACTGACAACAATAAAATCTATACCAAGCTCAATTCCCATCTAAATTGACTAAACTCCTCCACACTTGACAGAAGAATAGGCATGCTGATTTCCAAGTGTAAATAATAATCTCAGTCTCTGCTGTCTGTACACCATACTCAGTATTCAATCAAAAGCTATTGGAGCCCTGGCTGGTGTGGCTCAGTTGGTTAGGCATCATCCTGTGCACCGAAAGATTGCCGGTTCAATTCTAGGTCTGGGCACATGCCCAGGTTTCAGGCTATATCCTTGGTAGGGGGCATGCAGGAGGCAGCCAATCAATGTTTCAGTCTCACAGTGATGTTTTGCTCTCCAAAAAATTTTTGGATATAGCCCTGGCTGGTATGGCTCAACTGTTTGAGCATCGCCCCATGCACCAAAAGGTTGAAAGGTTGCCAGTTCAATTCCTGGTCAGAGCACATACCCAGGTTGTGGGTTCAATCCTAGGAGGCAACCGATTGATGTTTCTCTCTCACTCCCTCCTTTCTTGCCTTCCTCCCTCCTGTCCCTCCGCTCTCCCTCTCTTAAAAAAAATTATTAGACATAAGCAGCAAGGGAAAACTGGCCCATTGTTGAGAAATAAAGCAATCAATAGAACCAATTCAAGAGACCCAGATGTTGGAATTACCAGACAGGGACTTTAAGTAGTAGTAGTAGTAGTAGTAGTAGTAGTAGTAGTAGTAGTAGTAGTAGTATGTTAAAGGATTTACTGGATAAAGTAGATAACTTGAATGAACAGATGAATTATAAATTTGGCAGAAAGATGAAAATCATGAAGAGATGGAAAATACTTCCATTTGCCCATAGGGTGAAAGGGCTCCA